AATCCTTCTGCCTCAGTTTCCCAAATTGCTGGGATTATAGGCATGTGCCACCATATCTGGAAGACTTACACTCTTTCTTTTTGGACTAATGGAGATTGAACCAGGGTCTAGAGTATGTTAGATAAGTGTTCTTAATTCCCCAGCCCATCCTGAATACTTTAAATCATCTCTAGATTACTTATAATGGTTACACACTCCAAAAATTAAAAGGGTTTGGGGACATAGCAATCCCCAGTACCAAAGGAAAAAGTGGGGCACATAAATCTAAAGTTCATGAGTGGGTTATACCTGTTCTATAACACAATCCCAATCTATTTTCCACATCAAATTTACACAAATCCTGCAATATACTCTAAAATGTCCCCTCCCTGTACTTTTTACATTCCAAACTTCTGTTCATGTTGCTCATTCCACCTAGAATGCCCTGTTATGGTTTGGACATGAGATGTCCCCCAAAAGCTCATGTGTGAGACACTGCGAAGTTTAGAGGAGAAATGATTGGGTTATGAAAGCCTTAACCCAATCAGTGAATTAATCCTCTGATGGGATTAACTGAGTGGTGACTAAAGGCAAGTAGGGTGTGACTGAAGGTCACTGGGAGCATGCCATTGGGGCATTGTATCTGGAGAGTGGAGTCTCTCTGCTTTCAGCTCATCATATGAGCCACTTCCCTCTACCACACTCTTCCACCATGATGTTCAGCCTTACTTCAAGCCCTGAGGAATGGAACTGGCTGTCTGTGAACTGAGACCTTTGAAACTGTGAGCCCCCAAATAAACTATTTCTCCTCTACAATTGTTCTTGTGGGGGTCTTTTAGTCACAGAAGTGAAAAAGCTGACTAACACACCCTGCCATAAATTTTATAACTTTTAATTAACAATATCTTGAGTACCATTTAGCAAAGTGATCTCTCTTTTCAGTCTATTTGCTCAGTGTATTCTCTCATGTTTCTTATTCCATGTTACACTTTGCAATAAAGGTATCTCTGTATACATATTCTTCTTCTTCCTAGGTCAAGAATAAGGACATGGGCTGGGGATGTGGCTCAAGTGGTAACGCGCTCACCTGGCATGTGCAGGGCGCTGGGTTCAATCCTCAGCACCACATAAAAATAAA